ATAGCGTTGTAGATCACGACATAGCGTTGTAGATCACGACATAGCATTGTAGATCACGACATAGCGTTGTAGATCGCGACATAGCGTTGTAGATCACGACATAGCGTTGTAGATCACGACATAGCGTTGTAGATCACGACATAGCGTTGTAGATCGCGACATAGCATTGTAGATCAAGACATAGCATTGTAGATCGCGACGATCTACAACGCTATGTCGTGATCTACAACGCTATACAACGCTATGTCGCAGATCACGACATAGCGTTGTAGATCACGACATAGCGTTGTAGATCACGACATAGCGTTGTAGATCACGACATAGCGTTGTAGATCGCGACATAGCGTTGTAGATCACGACATAGCGTTGTAGATCGCGACATAGCGTTGTAGATCACGACATAGCGTTGTAGATCGCGAAGGAAGTANTAATTAATTAATTATTAATAATTAATGATTGTGTGTATGTACAGGTTAAGGAGTATCACGTATGGCGCGGAGTATGATCCCGATGACGTATATGATCCAGCAGATGACGCCGCAGATGATCGCGTATTTGATGAACTTTTTCGCCTTGGTCTGAGAGATGAGAGACTTCGCCGGCTGCTGCTCGGATATATGTATATATATACATATATATACATGTATGGACATGGAGGACTGGTAACAACAACTAACTGCCTAGCAACCACCCTAGCAACCACCTCTGTACTGGCAGCTTGCCAAAACATCACCGAGTCGCGAGATCCGCACCCGCCCCGCCCGCGTCGTCGCGAGCGGCCGTTGGTAGGTGGCGCCACGAGGTTAGAAATATGTATATATACATATATATATATACATATATATATATCTACATATATATATATCCATATATATATATATACATATATATATATATACATATATATGTGTGTGTTTGTGCGTGTTTCAAACCGATTTTCCCCCATTATATTATGGAATTTGAGAGTCCGTGCTCTACCCCTCTCCTTCTCTGCTTCTCACCCTTCCTCCCCCTCTCTCTCCCTCTTCCCCAATCCCTCCATGTGTGTGGCATTGGTTGCGTGCCATGTACCAGATTATACAGGTTATTCATATAGCGGTCACGAGATATAGGATAAATTTTGCTCATTCGTGAGAGATAGAGAGGCATGGAATTGTCAGTTAGCATGTTGACTGATAGTACTGCAACGTAGCAAACCCACAGCATCGTAGAACGCGACATGGCGTTGTAGATCGTGACGGAAACAAGCGCGACAGCAAGGTAATAAAGGTCACCTGGATTATTGGAGACATTATTAGTCCAGTGGTGACGCTCCTAACGAAGGTGTCAACAGTAATTATAGTCGTTATTCATCCTATAGATAATTACTACAATTATTGTTGTCACCTTTGTTAGCAGCGTCACTAGAGCACTAATAATGTCGTCAATAATCCAGACGTCCTTTATTACCTCGTTACGTTTCTTACTTCCTTCGCGATCTACAACGNCGCTTCTCTTCTCTTTCTCTCTCGCGCTCTCTCTCTCTCTCTCATCTCTCTCTCTTCTCGCTCCATCGCTCGCGTCTCCTCCCACTCTTACTCACACACTTCTACTTGTGTTCTTTCTCTCTCCTCTCTCATCCTCTGTTCTCGTCTTTTCTTCTCGCTCTTCTGCTTTTCTCCTCGTCTCACTCTGCTCACATCCTCTCTCATGCTCCTCTCTCTCTCCTCTCTCTATTCTCCTCTCTTTCTCTCTCTCTCTCCGCTCTTTCGCTCCTCGCCTTCTTTGCTCTGCAACTCCCTTACTTCTTTTGCTCTCACTTTCCCCCCCCTCTCTCAATTCTTTTAAAGTTGGCCAATGACGATTACAAATATTTCGGATAACTATACAACACACACAACAACACACACGCGGCCCGCAGGCAAACAGGGACCCGCAGCCAACGCACACCCACACCCAAACACACTCCACCACACACACCACAAACACACACACCGCCACGCCCACACACGCACGCAAACGACACACACACAACAACACAACAACATTACACCATCACACGGGCGGCCCGCAGGCGGGCACATCAGACAGCAGCACGCACACAACCACACACGCACGCAACACGCACGCACGCACACACACACCACGCCAACAAGGGGGACACGCAAGCACGCACAACCACACGGCACCGCACACACGCAACCACACCACAACGTAACACAGCACACACCACGCACACACTTACCACGACATTGGCACCGGGTTGCGGTTGTGCCGTGTATGGCCCAGACATCGGTGGCGCCCCCTGCGGGTGGTACATGGCGCCATCTTGCGGCACGTACTGCGGTCCCCCACCCTGGGGGCTATATTGGGGTGCCCCTCCTTGGGGGCCATATTGGGGTCCGGCACCCTGGGGTCCATAAGGAGGTGCCCCGCCCTGGGGGCCATATTGGGGTCCTCCGCCAGGGGATCCATATTGGGGTCCTGAACCTGGGGGGCCATATTGGGGATTGTAATGAGGACCAGCATCTCCTGGACCGTAGGGAGGGGCATTGTGGGGCGGACCCTCCCCCTGGTACTCGAAGACTGTCGCCTTTCCTGCAAATGAGAAAAGATGCGTTGTATGTACCCATAGCGTAGTCGACAATGCTGCAGTCTAAAACTCGTGTTTTGTATAATGTTGAGGATACGAGAGATGGAGAGAGAAAGGAATGATGGACAATGAAAGACAGAGAGAGAGAGAGAGAGAGAGAGAGAGAGAGAGAGAGAGAGAGAGAGAGAGAGAGAGAAGACTGAGCAGAGATGAGAGTGAGTTATGCAGATAGAGATGGAGATAGAGAGAGTGAGAGAGATGAGATGAGTTAGTCAAGATGGAGAGGTAAGACGTGAATCGTGCTGAGAGAGATTGAGATGTCAGAGAAGGTGCCGATTTAGTTTTAGCATATTAAGATGTGAAATAGAGTTGTGGTTTAGTTTTGACATGTTGGTTTTCCATAAGGAATCTTCAACACTTACACATTCAGAATCCTTGTCTCGATTAGCCGATTACGATTATTCGTCACTATCTGATTTAATCAGTGATTTTGTTCATTAACAACACTGTTGTACATGAATTATTCGTCACGCATCCACATACTCTTCTTTAAGCTGGTCATCTCCTGAGTATATACTTCGGCGTTTATGTCGGAAACAGCTGGTTCTATCTGCTGCTCTTTGCCGCCTCCTGCCTCTGCTGCTTGCTGCTTGTCTACTGCCTCGACTCCTGCTCCTGTTCTGGCTGTCTGTTGCTACTTGCCGCTCCTTTTATTCTGCCATGTGCTGTCCTCGCTGTCTGCTGCTGCTGCTTGGTTATTTGGTGGTTGGTGTTTTACTCCGTCGTTTGTCGATTTTGTTTATTTTGGTTACTTGGATGCGTTAGATGCTTCAGGTGGATCGTTGTGAGCAGGTGCTCGTTTGTGCGCTTTGTATCCTTCACTTGCTCCGTGCATGTATGTGTCTGGTAATTACACGAATCGGAATACATCGTGTACCGAGCTGCCTGTGTTTCTGTTTTTTTAGTAGTCACCCGCGCTGGTGGCGCTCCCTTCCTCTGCTGCCTGGTCTGGTAGTTCATCCCGCGCTCCCTCTCCCTCTCTTGTCTGTCCTGGCTGTTTTATATTTAGCTCATCTCTCCGCTGTGCTCTTCCCTCCCTCTCTGTTTTGCTTCTTGGTTTTCTGTATATTCCTCTCAACTCCGCGCTCTCTCTCTCCCTCCTGCCTTCTGGCTGTTTTTAATGTGTCTCATCCTCGCTGCTCCTCTCCTCTTTCTGTTTCTGGTCCTGTTTCATGCAGTTAGCTCACTTCTCCCTGCGCTCCCATTCCTCCTGCTGCCTGGCTTGTAGTTCGTAGCTCATTCCCTGCGCTCCCTCCCTCCTGCTGCCTGGCTTGATATTTTTTTAGTTGCTCATCCCGTCTTGCTCTTCTCCCTCCTGCTGCTGTCTCTGCTTCTGAGTAGGCTTCACTCCCGCGCCTCCTCTTTCTCCTGTCCTGCTTGCTGGCTGTTATGTACTTATGCTCACCCCTGCGCTCCCTTCCTCGCTGACCTGTGCTGTTAGTAGTCTCACCCGCGCTCCCTCCCTCTCCTTGCTGCCTGGATGAGAATAGTCTGCACCCGCGCTCCCCTTCCCCCTCCTGCTGCCTGGCTGAGTAGCTCACCCCGCGCTCCCTCCCTCCTGCTGCCTGGCTGAGTACCTCACCCCGCGCTCCCTCCCTCCTGCTGCCTGGCTGAGTAGCTCACCCCGCGCTCCCTCCCTCCTGCTTCCTCTCCGCCTTCCATCTCACCTCTCACCTATCCTCACTCACCTCTCCCTCCCTCCTGCGTCCTCTCCTTCCCTCGCCTTCTCCCTTACTTCCTTCCCGTACACTCACCTCTCTCCCTCTTCACCTTCCTTCTTCTCCTCCCTCTCCTTCCATTCCACTCGTTCCCTCCCTCCACTTTCCCCTCTCTTTGCTCTCTCCTATTTTTCTCTTGCCCCCTTTCCCGCCCTCGCTCCCTTCACTCTCTTCCCCTTCCTCTTTGTTTCCTCTCCTCGCTCCTTCCCCCTCCCTCCCCCTCCTCTCCCCTTTCCCTCTTCTCTCCTCTCTCCTTCCTTCCCCTCTTCTCTCATCTCTACCCCTCTCCCTCACCCTTCCCTTGAGATTATAGCTATAATTATAACGTGAATATCTCGCATCCTGCGTCTCTCGTGCTTTGCCTCTCAGTACTTCCCATTATAAGCCTCATGCTATCATTCCTTTCACTGTATAGACTGGATGCAAACGTGCTAGAAATAGGAAGAAGAAGACGAAGAAGAAGAAGAGGGGAGAAAGAGGAGAAAGGAACAACAAGAACAAGAACAACAAGAACAATACGATAGCGACAACAGGGGAACACCTAACACGCTCGCCTCCGCGCGCGCGACACAACCACACGCACGCCACCCGCACGCACACAACGCCCACACACCGACATGGTCTTCACGCACAAGACGCAGGGCTCGCGGATCCCTCTTCGACTCATACATACAACAGCGTAATACTGATCTCTCAAAGCAATCCCGCTAAACTTGGGCGTAAGCTCACCAAGCTCTGACATTAAGCTGGTTATTGGGGGTAGGGTGAGCCATGCTCATGTTATGTAACTCTCACTGCTTGCTAAGCTCCGTCCATCCACCACCATGCATCCCACCACTATCGACACAGCAGCAGCGCGCAGCAGCAGCAGCGAGCAGCAGCAGCAAGCAGTAGCAGCCGCAGTACGCAGCAGCAGCATAGCCAGTAGCCGCAACAGCAGCAACAAAGCCAGCAGCCAGCAGAAAACAGCAGCCAGCACAGCAGCTGCAGATGCAGCGAACAGCAGTAGCAGTAGCAGCAGCACAGCGGTTTGCAGCCAACGCAGCTAATAGCAGTCAGCAGCAGCAGCAGCAGCAGCAACAGCAACAGCAGCAGCACCGTATATAACCTAACTGTGACATACCTGGAGAAACAGTGAGAATATACTCGCATATATTGATGACAGGTAAGCGACAATCAATACAAACTGTTCGCATGCGCATACACTGCATAACTACTACACAGCCCATGTGCTTTTGCATAACTCCTACAATTCATGCGATTTATAACTCACGTTTATCTGAAACTATGCTAGCATCTCTCATACAGTTTATAGGCTTTTAGTAGCACGTTAATCTGCTGCTGCTATGCTAGCATCACTATATAAATCTTAGAGCATCGGGATGATGGTGATAGACGGGTGGAGCCAGATATACCTGGATAGATAAGAACACGGGTAGGGTTACGGTGTAACAGGGACCGCTCATACCTATATACATACATAAAACGCACGTAAATCACAACGTGCACAAAGAAGCACAGAGACATAAAAGATACACACGTACACACGTGCACACGCACACGCATACGCACGCACACACACGTATTATATATATTATTATATATAGCGGGCGTACGTGTGTGAGTGGGTCGTCTGCTGGGGCTAACTATACCGGTTTGGGTGCTGCTGCTGCCACGCTCTCACGCACAGACGCCCATGGCCTCGTTCGTGTTTAAAAACATTTTACAAGACACGCTCACGTACCAAAGCGTATGCGGCTATACTATATGAGCATTTNTCGCGGATCCCCTCTCAGACTCATACATAGACACAGCAGTGCATACTGATCTGCTCAAAGCTATCCCGCTAACTCTGGGCGTAAGCTCACAGCTCTGACATTAAGCTGGTTATGGGGGTAGGGTGGCCTAGCTCATGTAACCTCACTGCTGCTACAGCTCCGTCCCATCCACCACCATAGCATCACCACCACTATCGGCACAGCAGCAGCAGCAGCAGCAGCAGCAGCAACAGCAACAGCAGTAGCAGTAGCAGCAGCAACAGCAGCAGTAGCAGTATCAGCAGCTGCAGCAGTAGCAACAGCAGTAGCAGCAGCAGCAACAGCAGCAGCAGCAGCAACAGCAGTAGCAGTAGCAGCAGCAACAGCAGCAGTAGCAGTAGTAGCAGTATCAGCAGCAGCAGCAGCAGCAAC